TGTATGGAACGAGATTTATGTGGAGAACCATGTTGAGAAATTGATATTCAATATTTTCTGTGGAAAAAAAATTAACATGCGAGATATTTTTATAGAATAAATAACATGATGCACACACAAAAGAGATAATAGATGATACGAGTAAGAAATGTATTCATAGCGGCAGAAGGGAAGACTGAACAAGACTTCAACCTACCGCATTCTAGAACGAAGAGAGAGAGAGAGAGAGAGAGAGAACCGTTATTTTATAGTCCTAAAATAGCACCAACTAGCGGGTGTCTTGGCAGACCAGGATGTGGCTAATCCCAACAACTTAAAACAAAGAAGTAATAAAAAATTTCCTAATGCGGCACTATGCACGGCTCGTGATCTTAATTGATTGACAGGGTTTAACGTGAACAAGTTTTGTATCTGTGAATTAAGAAGGGCTACATAACAATAAGTATCCCGTTCATTATCTCAGATTTGTATGTATCTTACCTTACCTTAACCGAGGGGGGGGTCCTATAAGAGATTGACGCAGTGTTACTTGTTCACGAGTTCATGGCCAGGTGTCAAGAGAAATGTTGTTTTTTTTTTTATTATTATTTTAGGTCTGAAAGATAAGACAGCCAAGCCGACATGGATGCCCCCATCTAGATCATTGGGAATACTCTCACTCAAAAACTGTCACTCGATCGGAAGATATTTCTAACTGGACCCCATCCATACCCGAAAGGTTGTGTTCTGCTTTTATCAAAACCTTGTTACCAAATCGCACACATCTGGCTATAATACACTTGCCTGATATACATATATCAAACTGGGTGTCATGATAGGTATATTGGGAGTCATATATTTGTACTCCTGCATTACTTTTTTGTCATTACCTCACTCAAACAGCGGCAACAGTGTTAGGCTATCTAACCTTGACACCGAAGGCATAGAAAGATCGTTATTATAAGATTGGACAGTATATTTATAGGAAATAAAACATACTTGCAACACAATTACATACCGAAGTACATACTATAATACGCCCAGACTTTATTTTGTACCAAATAACAAACAATAGTTACAAACAAAAAGATTCCACAATACCGTACACACTGTTTAAATCAAAATGTCTATTCGTTAGAAATTAATATCATCATGTGAAATATTTGACCAATCAGAGAAAGCTAAAATTCTATTTTTCTCGAGCCTACTTTCAGGAAAAATTGCTTATAAAAACCCAGAGATTTCGATTTTCAAATAAAGCAGAGATACGGCTTTCCCCAGGCCGAAATAAAGACGTGGCTATTTAGCTTTTTCTTTCCCCCCACAGCGCGTGCTGAAAGAAATGTGTCGCCGACTTCAAATAGATCATCTACAAAAATAACAAAGACAGTTATTCTTCGCTAACGATAAGTCTTTTCACAACTACAACTTTTTTTTTTCTGTGGGTCAACTATTTAAAAATCTTTTCTAAACCACAGGTTTTTCTGTGTACCAACTACCAAACGACTAACTCAACTAAAGACTATTTTTAATATTTTTTGATTCTTTAATTCATGTACATAAGTTTGTAAATACAAACGAATTATTTAACATGCATACTCGTGTTTTCTTTATTTTTATTTTATTATTGTTTGGAATTCAGACGCTCGGATTTTTAATATAAAAAACCTGGACAACTGAATTTTCTACATATTCACTGGATGATCACCTTGAAACAGCCATAGAAAGCCGTGTAAAATCCCTATTCTTTACTCCTTTCATACTAACAGACGTATAAAAAGCTAATAAATCAGACATTGTAATTGAATACTACAAAACTGCCTTCACATAAATATGGCAGTGACATTAGATAAAGATATGCCAAAAAATATACATCAGGATATTGAAATTGAAAAAAAAAACAAACAACTACTGTTATACCTATAATCATTTAATTATTGTAGGTATAACAGTGTTATAATTTATGGTCGTGTAGAATGTTTGCTTTCCGACTATGAAACCCGGGTTCGAATTTCTTCATGGTCAACTTGTTAGGATGATGACTTCTTGATGTTATTGGCACATTTGGAAAGTGTCTGAAAACGATGAGCGTACAGGTTTTCTTTAAGCTGTTCTTCACGCCAGATAATGCCTTCTCTCCCAGAAACTGTAGCCAAGGCCGGCTCAGCACAGTTACAGCATAAATCAAAAGGTGGACGCTTTGGGTGTTGAACAAACATAAATGGGTCTGAGCAGGCACCAGCAACAGGATTGGCTAACCGCCTTAGTAGACAGAAATACTCAGATACAAGCGGCTAGCCATTATATTATTATTAGTAGTAGTAGAGCTTTAAATTAAAAAATGGTTCAAATCAGAACATGCGATTTTAGTTTATAAAATCTTTTGCAAACGTTAAATGTCATTCTTCAACATCAGTGCAGACTTAAACTAAGCTGAGTCGGGGGGGGGGGTCGCGAGCAATAAGTGAACAGTACTAAATAAAAAAGTAGACGTGAAATCCCTAAACATGGTCAGCCGAACGATAACAATATATGCCAGTAAATTAAATAAGAGTTTCAATTCGAAATTCCATGACGCTTATCCGGATCGGCAAATACTTGGTGAAGGTTGGAGGGCACAGCGACCGAAACGTTGTGATAACAACAACAAAGACAAGGATATTCGTCCGAGCGTAAATAATGCAAATAATAACTCGTAATCTCAGAAATTCAGGCAGAAATTATCATTCAAAGTCATTTATTATCTGCAAAGAGCATGTGATTCGAACACATTTAATGATGGTCTAAGCTATTTCGCCTTCTTGTCCAAACTGAAGGAAATTGGTTCGGGTACAAAAATTTGTATATCAAGGCGACTAGAGTGAAAAAGACTGGAATTAAGGTCCAACACAACATTATAACAATGTATTGCGGTAGCGTCAATCCTAAGACACTCGTGAATAGTAAAAAAACAGCAAATACAGAAACCAAATAAGTAAATATTTTGGTATCCTGAATATGTCTTGCCCTTTCTTTTGCTTCTTTCGCTTGTTGTATTCTTTGAGGAACGGATTCGGACTGGGCTATTGAATTGGATTCATCTACGCCTTCCGGCTGTTGATCGGCATTAGAATTCGCTTGATAGTTATCGTCGTTGGGCATCGCTTTTTTTATTATCAGAGTATCTTCAGTCTGGCTTACCGGGGGTCTGCATACGTTGACCTTCAATTTATGTCCCTTTTTCATTTTCGTGTGATTATCCGCCATTTTCTGGTCATCACTCGTCGACGTGTTTCCTACTTGTAAATCCCTGCCGTCATGTGCCGGAGTTTTATCATCAGCGATGTCATTCCTTTCGCAGTTAATGAACACGACTTTAGATGGTTCTTCTACAAATGGCAAAGAGTCGCTGACGTAAGCCTGATTAGTCATGATATATTCTCTTCTTATTTCAATTGTGTTTGAAAAGCCGAAACTCGAACGACATTGTGTTACTTTATTTGTTCGGAAAAAAAGCCACCTTACTGAGAAATGAATTTGCCAAAAGTGTCTTCGTTTCTTTTTTTTTTTTTTTATAAAATATCGATCTGATATTTGATCGGTGGTCGACATCTAATCAGAATCATCAGGAAACGCGGGATACAGATGTCATACGTCATTGCTACTTACCTTGTCATCTATCCGGCCATATATTCAGCATATTATCAAATTAATTAGCCGGAAACATACATGCTGTAAGATTTATGCAAGAACTTCGTAATGTATTAAAAATTAGAGGAACAATCCGAATCACTTGAAAGTTGTATGCAAGATACAAAGATAATTTTTACATTTTATAATAATGACGTTACAATGCATGACGTCATCATTTTTTTTTTTTTTTTTTTTTTCGCAAGAGTATTTTATGTCAGGACACTTGTACGAGTAATGCAGTACAACCTTCCGCATGGTCGGGTCATCGGTGACTAAACCGGTTACCCAACCGGCTTTTCTGGTGATGAGGCTCCAAAGTTATGTACGCAGCTAGTGCGGTGATGAATCACCATCGCATGGCTATGCTCCTAGACTGAAGTCATTGACCAGGGCGGAGGGTCTCTGCTGATGTAATCAACGGCCACGTATCCCTTCCGATCTACCTACCCAAAACACGCTACGCGTGAATGAATACCACTCTAGATGTGTAAAGAATTGGTTATGTGTACCGTGTACAACCACACTCAATGATGGGACTGATGATGAGGAGTATTTATCAGGGCTACTACGCCTCTATACATACATACCAGGGTTCTTTTTTCATAGGTGTAAGGGTCTTGTGCTCCCCCATCCTGTATAGTCGATATGTGATCCACGAACTCTACTACATCTCAATTCTCATAAGGTAGTATTCATATAAAATGCAAATTTTATCGTAATCTAAATATTTACAATAATGGATCATATGCAATATAGGTGAACAATTCAACTAGAAAAACTGAAAATAAATAATAAATATCTAAATACAAACTAGAGACATATAATAGATTATTCCATCTATAAATGTACCAACAATGTTTTGCAGCCATTTTAACATCAACTTGAGATTTTTCTTAAGAAGTTATATTTTAACACATTCAACATCATGACTAGAAAATAGTGAATTTTATATAGGTTTTTTCTAGATTGCATGAACAAAAATTCACAGATTTAGACACAAAAATGACCACAGCATAATGTCAAAAAAGCGAAAATTATGTAATCCTTTAATATTTTTGCTTAGTTTAATTTGTAACGTATATAAATGTAAGTAGAAAAAAAGCAAATGCTGATAAGATAACGACAATTACAAAATACTGCCCTGGGCCCACAATCAGGCTTGGGGCTCGCTGGTGGTGGTGGTGGGGGGGGTCACCCCGGCCCTGATTTTTCGTAAGCATAAGGACTTTCATTTTTGAAAATGTTACACGCCTTTCTTTTGTAAATATATTATTCTATATAAACATTTATTTTTCCCCACATCAACTCTTTTTAGATTTACATTCAGATTTACACAACTACTTATTGTCTTACGGCCATATAACGTTGAAATACCAGTCCCCCTACGATCATCAAAATTAAGCAACGTCGAACATGGTCAGTAGCTAGATGGGTGACCGCTTGGGAATATCACGTGCTGTAAGCTTGGATGTACGAATGGTTTAATGGATAATAATAGCTCGAAATTGTTAATCGGAGAGCCGAGTTCCAATTCCAGATGGGTTCGTTATATTCCTTTACATTCATATACCCTTGAGATAGGTATGAATCCACCACTTATCACCCTAGGTATGGGTTAATTAGTAGCAATAAATCATTACCGCCAAAAAATTCTTACAATCTAAAACTATTTTCTGGCTGTAAAGGTTGATAAAGCCATAAAAAAAAATCAATAACAGAAAAAAAAAGATTTCATCTTTACAACTGACTATAGATATTGGATCAACTTCACATCTGGACTTGATGGTAGCCATTCCATTTTCTTTTCTCTTGTAAATCTTTATCACAAAATATTAACGGGTAAGCTTAGATACACGAGAAGGAGCATTACTGCGCATAAATACAAACTTTACTTTGAAACTGCGAGGCTCGGACTTGTACCATTCAAAGATCTTCTTCACGAAATCATAATAGCACCATTCAGTTTTTTTTTAACTCCTTCATCGACTTTAAATGGTCGACAATTCCAGCTCATATCATCACTCTGCTTTCTTTCAGCCAGTCACATTTGTATCGGATAAAATACATTCTTTGACCCATCCATCATGTAAATCAAATGTCTCACGAGATATGTCCGTAAAAAAATTACTTTAGAAAAGTCTATTTTCATGTATTTCTTGACAGATTTGTGAAGTTTTCTACAATTTTGATTCTTCTGGGCTCTCTCATTCAACCTGTTCCTGAGTATTGGTCAAAATAGTTGTTTCGCTATAACTAACTTTAGTTCTTAAAGCCTTTTTCCTTTACTTCTATTCTCAACTTGGTTATATTTTCAACAGTCCCTATTATCGTTCGAAGATCTTTCCGAAGCTCCTTTGATATCGCGAATGTATATACATTCCTTCATTCAATAACTTTGTTATTTTCTGTTTTTTTCAGCATTCGTGAGATCCTTTCCATTATCAATGTTTGAGCATATATTACGGAAGAATTGTTTTTATTAGATTTAAGAGGCCTCAAACCGATATTAGTTTTTTTTACAGATCGCCACATCTATCAGAGATGAAATTTAAATTATTCCAAAATTTTAACACATCAGCAGATAATGTCAACAACTGAGCACAAATAGTTATTAATTTAAAAAATAGTAATTAATGTATAATATTATTATTCATAACTATATGTACAAGTATATCATTTTTAATAGTTAAAAAATAACCATAAATACGTAAAAAATGCGTATATTGTCGAAATTTCCTTTTTTCCACAATATGGCTATTTGTGCTAATGCTTATTATTGCCTAAACAACAACAATACTGAATAATTTTTTAATCACATCTCCCTAATAGCTGTCGCGATCTGTTAATCTGCGTAATAACTTCAGACTACAGTTTTTATAATAAATCTAATAACTAAAAGTATCAGGTCACTCCATAAGTTCTGTCCGAATTTTGAATAAAGAAAACAAGTGACCGAATGTTACATTTAATTACAGATTCAATCAACAATGTATTTTCCCTGATCATCTATGACTTCCTTCCATCTATTAACACGCTTACTAATTCCATTACTCTTTTGGCTTTGATTCGAAGAAGTCACAAATGTCAGTTTTAACCTCTTCCTGTATTACAAAAGCTGTTTCTTCCAAATGATTCTATAAGCTACGAAACAAATGGTAGTCTGAAGGAGCAAGATCGGAAGAATAAGGTGGATGAGGAATTTTCTCCCAACCAAGTTCTTCGATCTTTTGTGACGTGATTATTGCTGTGTGGGGTCGCGTATTGTCCTGATGAAACATCGCCCCTTTTTGATTCACTAGAGCAGGTCATTTTTTCCTCAAAGCTTGGTTCAGACACTAACTGCTAACAGTATATTTGAGCATTAATTGTTGCATTAGTTGGTAAGAATTCAAAATGGATTATTCCTTGGCGATCCCACCAGATTGAAAGAAGAACCTTTCCCTTCTCGGCTGTGGCTGGGTCGTTCCCCTTTACCAAGCCACTGTCTACGACGCTTAACATTTCGATAAAAGATTCATTTTTCGTTGCCAGTCACAAGTCTATCCAAAAAAGGTGAAAGTTGGTGAGAATGGAGAGAAGAGCAGATGTTAGCTCGGGATTTGAGGTTGTTTTCAGACAATTCATGAGGCACCCATTTTCCAAGTTTATTTCCTTTCTTGAACTCATAAAGCATTATGTGCCTCAAATGATTCTTGGGTACTTCCATGTTAGCAGGGTTTTAATCAAACAAAATTTAATTTTATTGTTCTCTGAAATAAAATTTGACCAGTTTAAATGCATCTAAACATAAAAATAATGTCAAGCTCCATTAGACATTATAAAATACTCTTTAAATTTCGTTCATTTTAAAAAAAGGTAAAATTCGGACAGAACTTATGGGATGACTTGATATGTTGAAACCACCTAAAAAAATGAAGAAACTTTGGTTTGGCGTTCTTTAGGTTTATGTCGTTTGCATTATAAATTTAGATATTCTCATAGCACTATACATTAAAAAACAAAAACGAACAAAAAAAACTGAAAACATTATTTTTCATGTAACATTTAACATTCTCCTTCGGGATTTTTATTGTAAAATAAAGTTTGTCTTTCTGATTTCCATAAGATTCGTTCGAGCATTGTTGTCTGGTTCCTTGACACCATTACAATCAATATACATTGATTGAACGTTGTTAACTTTCATATCCGACTTGTGGCCACTTGTTCCCGAAACATCTCGTTTTATACGTTCTTGATAGCAAGTGGTAATTATTTTCTTTTTTACCGACCTCATTTCTGAGATATTTTGCACTAATAATTGCGGTGCAAAATAATGAATTAATGGTGGTAATTTGTTTAACGAAATTGCCTTGTTCCTTTGATTGTGAAGGAAATATTTTGTCGCTCGTTGATTATTTGGAAAAAGAAGCTTTATTATTTTAATCCTGATCATATTTATGTGGTTTTTGTACTTTTTTCATATATCGTTTGTATTTATCAATTGTATCAACTGGGGGAATGCTTTGATCTTCTTGTCACTTCTTGCTCAGAAACGCATTTGTTTAAAATTGAATAATTGTATCAACGTTAGATATTTTAAAATCTAAAGATAAGGTGTTCAAGAATTATTTCCATACCCAGAGCGAATTTATTAACGGTTGGCTTGAGATAGTAAAAAAAAATAATAGACGAGTAGATTTCAGAAATGGAAGTCTATAATGATAATGAGACTAAGATATCTGAGGACTGTAGAATCAGATTCCTACATTTTTTTTAAATCTTAGATTTTGTGCAAGTTAAACACATAGAGGCTCCCAACCTAATATAACAACTGATGTATTTTGATTGGTTGTAAAACATTAATTAGGTGTCGTCAACTACGTCCGAAGGTACCGACCCAAATTTTGACCTCTAGTTAACGCCATAAAATGTAAACATGTTTACGAGCCTCCCCACGTGACCAAGAGAACTAATAAAAACGAAACTTCGACGCGACTTGGTCAGTGGGCACTTAAAATATTGAACCAATTCACTTGACTTCATCGAAAATCAACACAGCAAAGGAGCCGAACTTTATCTTCAATACAACTTTGTCAACCATCTCCAGGCTTAACGCTCACTCCCAGAAAATATTCCATTCCACAAGAAGAATCTCTGGTTAATGAGCGATAACTCTATAACAATCAGTGAGTCAAGACAATACTTTTTTTCTATTTAATACACAAAAAAAAACATCTGTTTAATTTTCCTATAAAAACAAATATAGCTAACTAAACCTTGTCATTTTCACACATACAGTACAGTAACTAAAATTCTTTCAGTAACACACACACCAAAGAACTCTATTGTGTTTATCAACTTTTGCATTATATATTATGTATTTGTTGTGTTTATATCAAAATATTTATTGTTGAACAAATTCATAATTTCTTCTACTTGATTATTTCTCTTGTTGTTGTCTTTGTTACATTTGATATTGTAAAAATTGTAGAGGGTCAGTTTTTATTTCTATTTATAACCAATACGAATTGGCTGACCCCCTATAGGACTCAATTAAAATTGAAATACTTATGGCTGTTCAAATTAACCCAACAAACGTAATTGAAGATTTGGATAACCTCAGAGAGAAGTACACCTCAACAAGACCTCAATTTCGGACCGGCTATTCCTAAGCTAAAATGTACTACATTTAATGGAAACGTGAATGAGAGTGATAAATTCACTTTCTAGAATTTTCTTGCTCAATTCAAAAGATGTGTTCTTGGTGTTCGTTCAAAATCTCTACGCCTCCAGTATCTGAAGAGCTATCATTCTAATTATGGTGCACAAGTGATTCAGCATGTATGCATTAGTGACGAGAATTACGAGGTGGCAATCCGTACTCAAAGATGAATTTCTGGATAGTGAATTCATCATTAATTAAATTTTTAAACAAATAGTGGAGAAAAACTAAAACGCGGTTAAACAGAAACTGTACTTAATTGAAGTTAAGGATAACTTGAACGAATTCAAAACTTAGCTAAATTTCTAAGTTTAGTTATATTTTCTAAACTGCCTAGAAATTTGTAAAAGGAATTAATTCATTCCCCAAGTTCTAATTATCCTTCGTTCAACCAAAGTTTAGACAATTTTGGGAGCGTCATTAAAATGTTAATTTACCAAATCTAAATCAGGTCAGGAAGTGGCAAAATATTCCAAACCGTATAAAATGGAAAATTTAATGACGATAAGAAAAGAAGGATAATTACTCCTCTCTGGAAAAAATTTAATACAAATATTAAGAGTAATAAATTAATTTTCAAATTTTGTAACATGGAGGAGCATTCCTCTAATTACTGTAAAGTGTATTCCTCTCGGTGTAAGTAAAAGAGCCTGTGTGAGCTATGCGCTAGTACTAAGTATTCTAGTAAGGAGTATTATGGAAACGAAAATAATCTGTTTTTTTTTTTTTTAGATGTAGGCTATGTCATTTTAAATCTCATACGACAGCTTTGTGTCCTTCATATGATAGTAATACAATTAATGTATGTTTAGTAGACCATGTTGTCAATAAACCAGATCTCTTGCTTCCTATAGTGATGATATAACTGTATATTTAAATAATAAGAAACATTCGCTCAACTACTTATGATATGGGAAGTCAAAGATCATTTGCTGGTCTTATATGGAACAAACTGAAATGTAAGAAGCAGACGTTTTCATTGTGTTTATGAAGTTAGCACTTTCCCGAGCGCACAACGAAATACGTTAAAGCAAGCAAAGTTCGATGTCCTTGTTGGTGAGAATAGTAAAAAAAAAAAAATCCTATTCTTATACATGGCGATTTCAATATAAGGTTTAAAATTAATGGCCTATATAATTCAGTAAACTATAATTCAATAAAAATGTAAAGAAGGGTTACAGGTTAGCTGCAGATTTTTCTAATATTGTCAAATATTATGTACATGGTTACTATAGTGTCCTGATGTATCAGGACACTATAGTAACCATGTACATAGTATTTGACAATTATTAGTTGATAATACAATAACTCACACATACAGTAAAAAGACTTAAGATATTGGAGGCCATCTTTCGTATAATTAATTACTCAACCTTTTCGCATGTTTTATTCGAGTAACTCCTTACAAAGCCTAGCAATTTTAAAGTAAATTATGTACACCTGAAACATACGAACGGAGTTTCGTAAAAGAAACGTTAGCAGTAGTTATAATATGGTCTTCTCGTCTGACGACTGCTACTGCTTGAGAGTTACACTCATTCATAAAAGAAGGTAAATACCTGACACTCTCCTTATGTAGATACATTCTATTACTTCTATCATACTAACGCTTCAGTTGTATTGTAAACAAAGAAAAACATTTTCATCTGAATTTGTTTCGCAAGGATCTTTGTAATTCATTTCTTTCAATTTGAAAGAAAACAAACACTCAATAATGAAATTTATTTACATTTGTAGAGACGCGTTTGAAGATCGCTTTATTTCTTCGCTTTTCACACGCCTTTCCTCTACACATGATACAGTTAATTTTAACTTAACACATATTTGTCTTCTTTCCTTCCGCCTCATCGACAACACATTGTTTTGTGTTTGTTACTCTTACAAACACACACCGTATTTTTGTAATCCTTTCACTCCAAGCAAGGCAATAAAGCCACTAAGATGCAAGGGGTTACTGAAAGTAAAAGAGTCTGAGAAAAAAAATTAATAAGGAGAAAGGGCAATAAAAGGAGAGGTTTCAAGGAAACAGAAGATAGCGATTGGCAGTGCATTAAAATTTTTAGACTATAAAGTTGACTGGGAAAAAAGAAGCTGGAAGAGAACTCTACAAGCTAGAAGTTCCAGAAAAAACGATTAACATAAAACTTATGGTTATATCTAGCAATTTCAACTGTAAAATGATGAAGCTTATCTGTCAATCTAGTACTGCACTTAAATTTGAGATACCAAGAAGAGAAGCTGATCAGAATTACTATTAAAATATTTATTATATATCGATTCATTTTCTATGAATTATCAACCAGGTTATTTAAAGCTAGAAAATATTTTTCGATTGTAAGCTTCTGGAGCGGGGAGATAAAAATGTTTTTGGACACAAGTCTTATTAGTTAACCCATAAATGGGGAAGAAAAGGAGATTCATACATTCCCCAAGGGTATTTATGCATAAATGAATATATCAAACACGACGTGAATTGGAACCTGGCTCTCTGATTAAAAAATTTCGAGCTATTATCCATTAAACCACACGCACATCCAAGCTTACAGCATCTGGTAAACTGAAACGGTCACCCATCTAGGTACTGACCAGGCTCGACGTTGCTCAACTTCGGTGATCGTATGGGAACCAATGTTTCAACGTGATGTAGCCGTGAGCTGAAAATATTTATAGAAAGGACACGGGGAAGCTACATTATGGCGATGGGAAAGTGACTGAAGCCGAGATGCCACATCAGGACCGGTAATATTGCAGACTAATGGATTTTATCAAACATCTCTAGATACATCGAAGAAGCATCATAAAATATATGACTATTCTGGCAAACCATGAAATGATCTTCCACTTTAACAAAAAGAACAAGAGATTCAGAATCACTCAAGAACGATTCAGTAACTCTTAATGGCATGGAAAGCAATTATACTATACTAATGAATACTGTGACTGTAGCTGAAATGAAAGGACTAAGGACTGCAGAGAATCGCATAGAGCGGAGATGCCTGGGAACTCGAATTGTGAATATTGCCAAGATGTCGGTGTCAGTGGACAGCCCTTTGGATCAGCCCGAACTAGCAAATGAATAAACGAAGAAAAAGATCTTGCAATGTTAATAAAATGAAATAAAAATAATTTCCTGGATCCACCCCAAATTTTGATCTTTTGTACTTCCGAAAAAGAAAAAAAAAAAGGGAAAATTATAGAGAAATTACATTGATGTTCACCCTGTACAAGGCCCAAGAGCCACTCGCTGCAGAGGATTACAGAGTAAGAGACACCATCCCAAGCAAGGTGATAATGCCACTAAGATGCAAGGGGCCACCGGAATTTAAAGAGAAAGTAACGGCTTTGGAAGAAACTGGAAACCCAATCCTAATCCAGAAGCAAAGGATAAACCTCTACTCCTATTAAAAAGATCGGGAGGAGTGTGAACCCGACAAACCTATCTACTCCTATTGTTAAATTTCAGACGTATTGTATGAACAAACAAACAAATGGCTGTGAATGGATAACCACAATGCAACTTCATTGGCGAAGCTAATTAACGTCATTTGACGTTGAATGCGTTTAACAACAGTATCTGTACTATTACAATTCCAACCGCATTCAATGACTTTTATTGTCTGCTGTTAGCTTAGCATCATTAAAAAGAAGTTATATTTTTTCTTTCAGAGTTCCAAGTCTTCTCAAAGTTGAATAAACCGGTTTCTGGTTCAAAAACCAATGCATCAGGGCGAACAGTGTATAAAAGATCGGGATTAAGGTACAAAACATTATCATACTAATGTACTGCTCCATAAATACTGCGCATAAACTTATGCCTATTGCAAACACTACAACTACGATAACCAAATACGTAAGTAGTTTGACATCCCTCTTGTTACGGTGGAGAGAATCATTTATGCATTTCGTTCGCTGTTCATTTTTTTCATTTCGAATTCTATTACTTTTTGCAGAAATGGTTTCCTGCATCACTGGACCAAGTATTTCATCCGGTTGCTGATCGACCTTAGAGATCGGCTTATTAACATAGTCTGTTTCATTCCCTACAAGATTAGATTTTGCAGGTGGGCATTTTTGTAGAAGAGGAGACATCTCTGGATTAGGTTCGACTGTTACATGCAACTTCTGGTCGGCATCAGATACACTTTTGTCATCACCATCAGTCTTCGACGCTTCTATGGTGACGTGAGATTTTGAAGGTCTGCATTTTTTCCGGACAGGAGTTTGATCCGAATTCTGATAGTCATTAAAGATCAGTTGCTTCTTAACATGGTCAGATATTTCATCCGGATTCACTTGCATCTTATCATCGGTTATCGCTGGTTTTATGTCTCTGATATTAGATTTTGACGGTATACATTCTTCTTGTTGAACAGGAGGCATCACTGAACCTTTTTCGTCTATTTCACTCGGTTTCTGGTCGTGTTTAAATCTTACTAGTTTATCATTATCGTCAGTTGTCGCTTCTATTCCGGGGTCATTTTCAAACTGATCTGCGGGACTAATTTTGTTGACATCTGCTACGTTTTCTCTCTTGTCGCTATCATCACAGTCTGTCATCTGACTATCTTCGACAGATGTACCTTCGGTTCGTAAAACTGTACCACCTTGTTGAAGAAAGTTATTATCAGAAGCATTTCCCGAGTATTCCGTGAGAAATGTCGAAGAGACACTTTCTACCGTTGGCAAAGGATTGGAATCATGAGATTGGTAAGTCATTTTTTTTTTTTTTTTTATCGGATTTCGATCGGAATGTCGAAACACTAGTCGAAACGTTTACTTGTTCTGAAAAATCAACCAAACAGCAAATAGCCGAGTTAAACGTGTATCTGTTTCTTTTATAAAATATCGATCTGACATTTTGCCGATCATCAATAGTCAGATGGACAAACTGGATACAATGATCAGTGTATTGTTACTGACCTTATCGATTCGCTCATACACTTGGAAAATCATTAGCTATGAATCGATACGCTGTAAGGTTTGGTGGGGGAGGGGACGCTGTTTAAATTCTGAAACATTATTTTGAATATTGGTTAGATAAGAGCAAGAAAGATCCTGACTACATAAAAATCAATGCATCGCGTATTCAAGATTCATTGTCACATGTTACGACGTTGTAATGCGTGACGTCATAGAAATATCGCATATCTATTTTGGAAAATATAAACCATAAACTAAGTTAGGATGCTTGTCTCCGTTGGTAGTTGCATAATTAAAAGAAATACTTGTAGTTCCAACGAATGGTTTATTTCATGGAAATTTCCATGAAATAAATCATTCGTTGGAACAAGTTTTTCTTTTAATTATATAAACTAGTGTACAAGTATATCAAAAAAAGAAAACATTATTTAGGAGAATGAACAATAAGCGAACAGAAATGAAGATAGACGATAACGAATAACAACACTGCATTTACATTTTTGATAATCAAAGTTTTGGAAAGCAGGAAACCGAAAGTTTGATTTGTTTGTTTAACAGCATATCCTTATGGCGAAATTTAAGCTTTTGGGACTTTTGAAGTAATAAAAATATGATATATGTTATTTTGCTTTCACAATTGAATACATCATATATGATACTCAGCCTTTGTGCAAATACATATTTGTGCAGAGATGATTACTAGAAGCAGTGATATGCGTGTTTTAGGTTGTAGTTTTGTTGAAGTTATATTTTGGAATAAAGTTTGATTTAAGAAATTGTAGGATATTATATGGATAATGCTATGAAGACTTTTTCTCATGTTGGTTGGTTGATTTTGTTTGGCGGTATATCAACTTCTATAGGTTATTTAATGCCGAAATCTAAATATCTGAACATAATTTTATGGTTTCAATTATATTTTGAACGCAATTGTATGCTTTCAACTACAGATAAAATATATTCTTGGTAAATTTTTTTTTATATATATAAAGATGTATTGCTGGTATTTTTATACTTTCATGGTGTTTTATTTTTGCTTTTGTTCCAGAAGTCACAACTAAAATAGAAGCCAATCAACTGTTCAATTAATTCGTTCCCTTACTATTAAGTTTCTTTAAAGATTTTTGTTATATTAGATTTATTACATAACAAACATAAAAGTTACATGTATTTCGTTATATTATCTAACGAAGGTTCTGATATCACAACTGAAGCAGAAGCCACTCAAGTGTTTACAAAATTAGTTCCCTTATTATTACTATGTTTCTTGTAATAAATCGTTTTTAAAGGATTTCCTGGATTGTCTAATACTTTTGATATCAAACCGCTAAAATGGAAAAAGTACCGCCGGCCATGCGTTGCAGATATCAGAAGTCATTTCAGAACTCACGACTTAAATAGAAGCTACTGATGAACAGTCTAGTAAGTTAAGTCCTTTATCACTACGTTTCTTGTGAAAGATTAGTTTCGAAGATTGCCTTGGTCGTTTTTATTTTCGATGCTTACTTTGAGATTTTATTTTTGAGCTGTTGAGTGCTACATACTACTGTCCATGAGCAAATATTGGAGTTCGTAAACAGGCACCAACATGAGAAAATGGTTAACCTTACGATTTGTGAATAGGATTTCAGAGCATGACACGAAAAGTATAAATAAATACACAACGGTAATTATTATATAGTGTTGATTGAGTATGTTGTGCTAAGTTAAGGTTAGCGGGCGTTCTGTTAAATATATTAAGGCTAGTAAACAAATACACGCAGTAGCGAATAACGGGATGAGTTTACCATTTTGCAACAGTAAAGTTGATACTTGTTACTGGAAGATGTTGAAAATTTTCAAAGGAAATTCAATTCAACAATTACGTGGGTTATATACGTGCGCAGGTATGCAGAAAATAGAAAAGAACACGTTGGGTGCATAATCAGGAGTTCCTTAGTGTTTTTGTTTTTATTTTTAAGAAGACGGTGCTCCATACAGAAGTAGAGCTATACAAGAGTTTTCATGTTTCAAAAACGAGAGCCGAAACCATCCCAATAATTATTAAAATTAAGTTGAATTGAGGTGTTTAGTCCCATTTCATCTTCAAGCGAAATTTTAGGAATAAGCTATCTCTTGGTTTACGTGTGTTTTTAAGCATGGTTCGTTATAACATTCGTTATTGTGGGAGTGGCTAGGTGAGTCATCTTGGTTAAGTGGTCAGAGAGTTAATTCTTATCTATAGATTCATCATCTTCTGAGAGGTTTTGCTAAGGTTGGGTAGGGTATCTATTTCAAGGCTAATGTTGGCGGTCATTCTCTAGTTAGTTTCCAGCGAGGGATGTTTTTATGGCGCGCCTACAAGTCGTTATGTGTCGGGAGGATTTTGTTTTATTATTATCTATCTGATTATCTCTTTATTTATTTGTTTATTCAAGTGGGTGTTTTATATACAAACCGTATTGCACTGAATTTCAATTTGTTTTTTGACGACTACACTACTACTAAATATAATCAATAATATTTCCTTTCAAAAAAAGAAAAGCAACTTCCAGAAGCGTCTAGACCAAATAGTCAAAAGCATAAACGACAGCGCTAAAATACTAGTTAAATCCGATAAAACGGGAAACTTCTACAAATTGACGGCTGACGACTACAACAAAATAGAAAAAAATTAACTAAGACTTATAAAAAAAATCCCAGAATAACAATATAAACATGGTTGACAGTATCAATAAAACTAGTAAAATG